CGCCCGACGTCCTCGCGTGATCCCTTGTTTGAGAGATCATCACATTCAGGCAAGACGTCGTTGGTGTAGGGATCGTCAACACTGGGATAATCGACGCTGGAGTAATGTGATGTTTTCAGATGAGTCAAGGTTCACTGTTGATTTTTTGGACAGACGTAGGAGGGTGTGGCGTCGTCGAAACGAGCGCTTCCAAGACGTTAACGTCATCAGACATGATCGATTTGGGGGTGGTTCTGTTATGGTGTGGGGAGGCATCACTGTTGCTGGAAGAACGGCTTTACATGTTGTTGCAGGGCGTGTTACAGGCCAGTACTACCGGGACAACATCTTGGCAGTCCATGTTGTGCCGTTCGCACGACGTCATGGCCGCCGTTTCATCTTCCAGGATGACAACGCAAGATGTCACAGGGCCAGGATCGTTACAGGTTACCTCCAACAACAGAACATCACCACATTACCTTGGCCAGCACTGAGTCCCGACCTCTCCCCCATCGAGCATGTCTGGGACATGCTTGGACAGAGGTTACGTCAACGTCAACAACGTCCTGCCAATGTCCAAGAACTTGCTGCTGCGTTGCAACAGGAATGGGACAATCTGGACCAAAATGACCTTAGACGTCTCATTAGGAGTATGCCACGTCGGATCAATGCTTGTTTGGCAAACAGAGGAGGATTTACCCGTTACTGACTTGGTTGTGATGCTGTGGTAACTTTGCTGTTTGACCCCGGGTATCATTTTACCCTTATAATGGTCAGTCTGTGCCATACTTAGTCTAACGATCATTTGGAATAAATCGATGAATGTGAACTTCATTTCATTTTGTCATTTGTTTCTTCGTAAGTTTCATTAGGTGAGTTTAATAACACTTAAAAACCAAATATCCCCTACTTTTTTTGAATAGTATACAATGGTTATAGCCAATAATAATACATTTTATTGTTCAAGGTGATACGTTTCCAAAGAAATACTAATGTAAACTTTCCGCTTATGCTTTCGTTGTAGTGTTGTTTCCCATCAAGTAATAGAATTTGCAACGTAATTGTCTCTACAGTATCGAACAGTGGCGTTTATTAGTGACGAAAACCCTGAAAGAGTTATGTAACTCCTGCAAACTTCAAAAGTTTTATCATGGTAAATGGGCTATTTCTACATTTGAATTTCATATGTCGTTGGCGAGGACCCGTGAATTCTATCAAACAGGCCATAAATCTATAATATACAAATTTGACCGCACTTGTCTTAAGCATTAATTGGTTCATTTGATACAATCTTTGGTGTTTTCTGAAAATTCCGGTCGAGTTTGGAATAAAAAAAAAATGACCGTCAGATGCTAACATTTGACTCAATTTGACGCTACCTGATTGGTAGAAGCAATTAACCAAATAAAATAGGGAACTTGTTGATAGGGGAGCTGAAATCTGGTTAATCGAATGCTTGTATGTCGAACTACCAATGATTGGTGTGTTGTCCTATATACTATTAAAAATATTTTGGTGATATTACCCTAAAATTACGGGCAGCAAACGTTGCCCCTAAATCATAGGTAAAATTACACCATTAGTTATTTAACATTTTACTGTAGAAGGACATATGTTAATTTACATTTCTTGCAAAAGTACATCACAATGTTTATTTTCATTTCTTGTAAAAAAAAAATACACCACAATGTTAATTTACATTTCTTGTAAAAATACATCACAATGTTAATTTACATTTCTTGTAAAAATACATCACAATGTTAATTTACACTTTGGTTAAAATATTAAATATTGGTAATTTTACATGCAGGATTCGGGAAACTTTTGCTGACATTTAGGAACCAGTATCCACGGTGTAAAATTTCGTATTAACATTACTTCAATATATGGAAAATCAAATATCCTGTTTGGTAGACGAGAGCATGGTTCTAGGCTTTCAGATGTAATCTTGAGGTACTATCTATTTACAGGCATTATAACTCTGCTTTAGAGATCGTCCCGTCCAGCTAACACTGGCCAACCGGTTTAATTAACCGTCTTCAAGCGAACTTGATAACGAAATAATACAACCTCCAGATACAAAGTCAAAACATTTTTTGTATACATTTAAGAAAATACTTACAAACTGATTAACTTACGATATATAACAATACATGTTATAGGTCTTATAAATAATGGAAATCAGATATACATGACATGCAATATACCAAATTTTACAAAATGTGATTGTCCATATTATGGTTAACAAATTGAAATGAATACTATAAGAAGATAATTATTAGGAACGTTTCGTTGCTATGGAATAATAAAATAAAATAAGAGATAATAAATTTACCGATTACGATAATGTGAATAAACGTAAATCTGTAAAATGACATGCTGTCTATGTTATTTTCCGTTCAATATTGAAATATTACATATGTAAGCATGTATTTTTACCGAATTTTGAATGTGCCTTTGCTTTCATCAACGCTTGTTGTAAAAACGAATGAAACATGGCAAATATACATCGTTTTGGTAAATATTTCTAAAATTTTAAATTAAAAACAAATACTTTAACTCCTGTAATTTTACTTATATTTGTTTTACCTAAAAGTAAATTACATAATGATGTATATAAACGTAAAATCTGTAAAGTTACATGGTTGATTCGGTATTTTCAGTTCAATTTTATTACATAATATGTAAGAATGTATTTTTACCGGATTTTGAATATATCTTTGATTTCATCGCCGTTTATTGTCAAAAAGACACGAAACTCTAACAGTGTACCCGATGGTTGCCGTAATGTCATTTGCTATTTGGTTGTGGATTTCAATAACCACTGTTAATTGGTTGTGTGTTGGGAATGTTAACAAACATATTTCAATTTTTGATTTCATTACTATTGAATAAAATATTTCTGTGATATCAACTTTTTACGACAACCAATTTGAGCTCCGGTACATCTTACTTTAATTGGAATACACTGTAAATAAATATTTTGACGTTACGTTTGTAAAATGTATTAATTCAGGGAAAAATCAGTTGTATAATATGGTTTTTTTACGACTATTTGTACTATCACTCCTATTTTGGTGTAATGAAGCATACATATGTAAAATAACATACAACTGCGTAAATATCTTACCACATTCTTATGGTAAATTAACATTTATTTCTAACAGTGTACGTCTGTCAGACCAGTATTGAAACTAGGCATTAAATGTTTAGAATCGGTCTTCTGGCTGGAATAAAGGTCTTCTTTTCAACTTTTAATTTTAAATAAATGCCATGAAAAATCATTTTTTAATCTTTAACTTTTTACAGAAAGAGACAGTACATTAATTTATTTACTGTGCCTGGCCATTTATTACAAAGATGCCATGAAAAATGATATAATTATCTGTAACTTTCTAGGGAAAAAAAGACAGCATATTACTTAATTTACTGTGTCTGGCCAGCTGTGTGTCAATAAGGACCATTTAGTTAACGCTTGTCTGGCGTTGTTAGAAGCACAAGACATTTGTTAGTAATCTGAGATCGCACAATATAAACACAAGTCTTGACTAGTATTAAGTTTTTTGTGCATTCCCTTTAATCGGCGATACATTTAATATACGAGGGTTGGCTGAAAATTTCTAAGCATGAAAAGTATAGATCAATTGGGTTGAAACAAACTTTTGCCACCACTACAATCATTGAATGAATCGTAGACAATCTTGTGAACTTATCCATTGAAATCACCAGAAATGGACAAAATTGGCTATAGGGCAGTGATCGTGTACCTACAACTGAAAGGACATGGTATCCACTTCAGGGGATGTTTCCTATTCCTTTTCCACAGTAAAGAAGTGGACTGCGGAATTTAAGCGTGACAGAGAGAGCTTTGCCGATAACCCGCGTCCTGAAAGGTCATCAATAGAAACCATTCAAGAAAACATTACCCGGATGCGTGACATAGTGATGACTGATCGCGATTGACCACTCGACATATTGCCAGTGTTGTGGGAATTTCTCATGAGAGGGTTGGACACATTATCGCCAACGAGTTTGGAATGACAAACATTCTGCAAGTTGGGTACCAAAGCTCTTGACTGCGGATCAGAAAGGTGACAATCTGTGCCGTTTTGAAGCAGATACTAATAATGTTTTGGCCAGAATTGTAATCCGGGATGAGACCTGGATTCATCACTTTCAATCGGAATTCAACATTCAGTCTAAACAATAGAAGTATCCACAGTCGCCCCCCGCCCCCCCCCCCCAAAAAAAGCCAAGTAGCTTCCTTCTCCTGGAGTGATGATGGCTTCTGTCTTTTGGGATCCCAAGGGTATTCTGCTGATTGACTATCTTGAAAAAGGCCAGACTATCAATGGAAGATATTATACTGATCTACTGAGACAGATACGTGAAGCTATCAAAGGTAAGCGACGGGGAATGATCACTAAAGACGGTCCTGTTCCACCAAGACTATGCTCCTGTTCATAAATCGGTGATTTCCATGTCAGGGTTTCGAACTCATTGGCCATCCATCTTACTCACCCGATTTGGCCCCGTCAAACTTCCACCTGTTTCAAAAAATAAAAAAGGGACTAACCGGTCGTCATTGTCCTAGTAATGATGGCGTCATGTCAGCTGTGAACGACCTTTTTTAGATTATCTTAGAAAAGTTCTTCCTGACCGGCATTCAGGCCTTGCAACATCGTTGGCAAAAGTATGTACACCTCGAAGAAAAATAAATGGAAATCGTGAACTTTGTACAGAAGGCTTAGAACTTTTCAGCCAGCCCTCGTATTAGGTTATGACACACCAGGACAGTTCGGAAGTATGTTCACTCAAATTCCCACATAGGCCTGCTAGTGTGTGCGCTAAAAATCTTCGAAAATAAATTGAAAACCGAATAATTAAACTTAATTAAAGCATAATATATAGCTGAAATGATTTGAAAAATGGACAAATGTGACTTAGTCCATATCGGCTGGACTGGTGACCATAAAACTCAGCACCAACAGTAGTGAATATCAATAAAGATGAAAACTTACCAACTGCTCCAGGTACAAATCAGCCAGCGTACAAACGCTCATCGCGCACAAAACCAAGGTCTTTAAGGTGAACATAATGGCACAAAACGTACACGCAAGTCTTAAAACGTCTTAAAGCATACAACTAAGATTTTATAAACGCCACTAGTAAAAAGAACAAGTTTCTGCATACAATAGTAACTGATGGATTTTTCGCTAAAAAAGAAATAAATAAGAGATTTTCGTTTGTTATCTATAGCCTTTTCCGCTCCCAGAACTATCTGCCTAATTGACCTATGGTAACCCTTTATATGATGGCCACGTCGAGAAGTTATTAAAATCACAGAGAAGGCAGGTAAGAGAAAGAAGGTCACTTTATATAAGACATTGTTGTCAGAAGTGGTCCGCCCCTTACATTCCGGATCACACGCCTTCTACCTTAAGATCTCCTTGATTATAGTGAAACAAGACCTATCAATCAATACAAATCACTGACAGCACATCGCGTGGGAGAGACTCTTATCCTATCTATACTGTATAACATCATTGATGGCATTACGGTCATCAATGGAATCAAAGTATTCGACATGGTAGACAAATTCTAAAATATGTCCGTTTTTATTTTTAATGATGTTTTTACATATAAAATATGTGAGACAATAATTCAACAAAGTTTTGATATCAAACAAAGGTGTGTGTAAGTGCGAACTTTCATTCTGAAGTAATTAACTATTTCAACATGCTATAGACTTGTTTTAGCGTGTAATTTTAGCACAGATAAAATGTTCTATGTTGAAAATAGACTGGTCTAGTGTTTTTTGAATTGGTGTTTGTTGTAACCTTTTGTAAAAGAAAGCAAGAAAAAAAAATTATAAAATGCGTTGACTGAATGGCCTAGAACCTTTGAAGTTTGATTTAGCTGTCTATTATATTGGGAGCTATTTTCGTTATTGTCCCCAAAATACATCTAAAGAGTTTCCCACTTATTTTATTACGCTTCGAGGTAAAAATATAAATGCGAAGTAGAAAAATAAAGACCTATCTATAGATGATTTTAAGGGAAAGATTTGAATGATCAACCCAATAAATCGCATATAGATATAGATATTATATAAGTCGTCATCAATAAGCAGCCATGTTTATTCAGAGCGTTTTTAATTGTAATGATCATGAGAATCTGGACATGCTCAGTAGAGTATCAGACCATTGGAACTTGTTGGTTGTTTACTTTCGTTTTCGTATACATTTTAAAAGATGAATCCTTGACCTTTCAACGACATTTTTGTCGAAAGCTGAATCGAAACGAAAATCATATTGATATTCCCAACCTTTTCGATGCATAGATACGATATCGATAGATGGCATTGTGTTTGATGCAACTATCGAGTAAGGAAATCGCAGAAATGTTTGGTTTGTATGCACCTTTGAACATTTCGGGACTACCAGTTTCCTAAGAATGAAACTTTTTTGTAATGGACAACTTTTCACGATGCTATACTCGTTTAACAAAAGAAAAAAAATAAAGCCCAGTGGGATAAAGGGAAAGAGAGAAATGGGGTTTAACGTCCACTCGACACAAACGTAATCATTTCAGACTAATTCGCTTGCGCGTAGGTGCCTTTAGCAATCGGCTGGAAACCGGAGGACCCCCCAAAAAAACAAAAAATCACGACGATGGACAAGCGACTCTACGCCTTGTCACGTATTCTACAAGCTGTGGGATAGATACCAATAGCAAATAAATACATATAGTTTTAATGAAGTTTATCCATGCGTCTATGGAAAAGAATTTTTTTTTCATAAAGGGTGTTCGGTTGCCAGTCCACATCATTCCAAATTGACATTTTTGCATTCCAGTGACACAGATTCGGGCCATGTCACAGAACTGCCAGTCGCCATAACACATAACAGAGTCGTGACGTTTGGGAATGGGTTGTCACCCAAATAATCGAAGGATTGCGAGAATTCAATTCCGGAATGTTCAAAGGGTATCAAATTTTAGGGCGCCAACATTCCGAAGAAATGAAATGAAATGGAGAGTAAGGGTTTACTTTTCTCCAGGCAAATCAAGACGGACGAACGTCATTCCGTGTGCTATGATAAGTTTCCACCTCATCGAACTCCAACGTAAACATCTAAATATTAAGGCCACCTGCAGCTTTCATCAAGGTCACGAGATATAAACAGGGCTAACCCAACCCTAGCTAGACCTAGCCTTAACCCACAATCCTCGATAACAATAACGTAACCTTATTCTGTTTACATCTCGTGACCTAACCGAAATCTGCAGGTGGCCTTAATATTTAGATTTGAAAAAAGGCCCAGGTACAAGAATGATGTCTACAACCTACATTTTCAGTGAACGTCCGTCTAACAATATTTGCTGGACAGATTTCGAAGTCTTTGGTTCATGTAGTCCCCATTTTATACATACCTGGAAACTGGCATAACCGATCTCCTAGTGAAAGAAAAAAAAACTTAGATAGTGTTGAAAGGAAATGTGTTCTCCCGAGACCAGCATTATTATGTTTAGTGTTTAAAAACTTCTTTGTAATCGCTCATGGGACAGATTAAATTCTGTTTCACTCTTTTCTGTAAATGTTTACATTTGTTAACTACAAAAGAGTTGGGGGTAAAATATAATTGACCGACTTGTCTTAGTGATGCGTTGTTTATAATTACGATTTCGAATAAACAGAAAAGTAATAAGCTTTAATACCGTAGTATTTATATTATGATTATGTCTTGGTCTTGTCTAGACTCATTGACAATACAGTGTCTGACTAATATTTTATAATACAAACAAACCGACATCATTTAGTCAATTAATCTCCCAATCTAACGCCACTATCATTTTTGCGACGAGTATGTAATATAACATGAAAACAAAATGAAACAATTGACTTGCTTTTCACATTCATTCATGTCAATTTCTTTAATTCCTGAGTCTCATAAACTAATCAAATTTATATCAATCTCCTAATAAATAAAAAAAATAATGCCCATTAATTGACGCCTATTCTGTGTGCGGGTGTCCAGAAAATTGAGCAGGATGCTTTATTACTTGGTGTTAACTGAAGACTAATAATTTGCTTGTAACCTCCTTACAAGTGCAACTGGTGGAATTAAGAATGCTTGCCCCGAATATGAGGAAGAACTTGGGACAATAGTAAGAAAAACCTAAAAGTATGTTAGATTCTATGATCATGAATATTATCGCGAATCCTCACTAATTCACCTACATAATCAGGAGTCTTGATAGATCTGACGTTAACCATAACCCAGGTACGTCTTTGGTAGACAATCTTGTGTCTCTGTTGTGGGTTGTTGACTTCATTTAACCAACTCCCCATTTTAACTTAGCATGATTCTATAACTGATCTAAAGTATATTATGACTACCGCAGAAAACCGTGATTGTGATTAATGACTTATGTCTCCCATGCGAACATCTATATACGTTACTATTGAGTCGTATTTTTTTTCTTTTAAGTACGAAACTTAGTTTGTTCTTCTGGTGTACTTTTAATTATTTTTCAAAAAATGTATTCCAATCCTCTAAATATCGCAGACTAGCGATGGCATCGAGAGTTGATTAAAGTTAATCAATGTCTAATTAATAATTTAGATAACATTTCAGGCCTAAAGAAAGACCTGCAATGGGAAGATTTAGTTCTTGCATATGGTTAAATAAGCATCCATGTTATATATTCTTTATGGGTGTCGACCATTAATAATTCTTCGTTGATGTTCAACTAAAATAGTCGTTATACATGCTTTATGTAAGAGCTAAATCTTCCTATCAGAGGTCCTTTTTCTGGCGTCGAATTTTATTTAATAATATGAATAATTAATTAGATATTTATTCACACGATAAGCCCAGATCCAACGCTCTAGACAGTCGAATGGCTTTTCTATTGAATGGATTAGACCATATCATTAGTTGACGTCAAAATGGACGTCACTCAATAAAAAAAATTGACGATCGTGATTTCGTTAATATGGCGGCAAGGCTATTTGACAATCTCTATTTCTTGTTAAAACTTCAAACACGCATAACTTCGCTAAGAATAAAGTATTTGATTGAAATTTTACATATCATTACCTATCTAAATCTTACATAACGCGTTTTAATCCTACGGAACATCTTGATAATCGTCGATTGAGCACGTTATACAATTCTGAAATCCGAAGAAATTCATATAATTATATTAATAATGGCCAATTCAAGACACCCAGCATGTATATTTCTGATGTAGACCTATATTTTTAAAATTCTATTTAGGCCTACTTTATTTACATACAAGTATTTTGATAGGCCTAGGTGGGTGCTTTGGCGAAATTTTGTTATCGGACCAGAATAGAGTTATTTTTGTTTCTTTAAAATCAATAAGCCTTTTGAAACAGGAATTCGATGATGTTTTATTTGTTGAAGTTGACAAGATTACAAATGTTACATGTTTATGATTTTATGTCAGTGAACTTTTCTATTATATTGTAAAGTGATTTTTTGTGTACTTTACAGCATAACAATAGTGATTTGATTTATATTGATAATATTTTGCATCAACGCGAACACAAGGACATCAAATAAGGAGATAGTAGTACATGAACGTTTATCGTAGAGAATATGTTTGCTTTAAAATAAAGTACTTGGTTCGACTCGCTTCATTAAAACATAAAACTCCCAACTTTCAGAAGTATCCCCTCGTCCCGCCATTATTATTCTAGAAATTGTAAAAATAAAAACAATGTCGCTAGCTTCACGAGTGGCATGTCAATAAATAAACCCCCACGTATAACCAATTATACTTTAACGAGTTTTGAATAACAATTATTATTGTTCTCCTAACAAGTAATTAGTCCTGCAAATAAGTGGACATTAACTCAAGATACTGTGAAAAGCACTTAAAACTGACCATTGGGACTTAGTGGTACTTTAAAGCCGCCTTCCTAACTTTATATCAATCGAGCAGACAACAACCTGATACGTTGACAGTTCCTTAAAATATTCTTACATTATGCCCTGTGCGAGTCCCATGGGTTTTTTTCTAAAAAGGGAATCTGATATTGGTCTAGTAAGATGTGTGTGCCTCTAGATTACACATAACCAAATGTAAGGTTATTATTCATTGCTTGAGAAAGATACTTGTAAAAGTATTGAAACGTTGCATGTAATAAACCAAAGAGTAGTAAATCCATACTTTGTGTTATTATGAATAGTATATCTCTTCTTCTAAATGTCATTTAAGGATATTTAAGGATAAAATATGCCATACTTTAAGAGGCAATAACTATCCTATAAATAATTTCGCGGAAATTTAT